TGATGACTGGACAAGGGTGATGGAGAGGAAGGAATAAAAGGTTACCAATGTGGTGAGCCAAGAGAATTGTGCCACTGACATAAATAAGGAAGTTTGGAAAGGGAGCTGGTCTGGTAGAGATAAAACAGTGAGCTTAGTTCAAGATATTTAAATATCTAAATGAAGATGTCTTACATGCAGCTGGAATTGCTAGACTAGAGGTCAGACAGTGCCAACGGGGGCACAGGTGTATTGTCTAATAGCTTTGTTTGTTATTTGTCTAATGTCCTTCCCAGGCTCCCCTCCATTCCTTCCCACCTGCCCTGCCCCGACCTACCCAAGGTTAGCAGAAGTGGACTGATCAGCCTGGGGCCAGAGAATTTTCCCTTCTCTGGCTCTAAGCTCTGAGGAGAGAGTTCCCTCTTCTACCTCTACCCTGTCCCAGAGCCTAAACCCTTTCTTTTGGATCAGGAGGCCAGAGGAAGAACGACTGACTGCTAAGGGCCCAGAGACCAGGGTTATGAGTGTCATGGAGGCTCTCTGCAACAGTCTTAAGAGATAGAGCTGGGAAGAAAATGATGGAGAAGCACAGACAGAAATGTTTTGTTTCCTTGTCCACCCTGAGAACACTCTTGGTGAATTTTAAATCTTAAATAAAAAATATTTTAAATGATATAAGTAAAAAAAAAACAGGCCTTCTTTCTATTTAAAAAAAAAAATTAAAAGTGTTCCATTTAATAGGGGCACATGGTAAAGTGGATAGAGAGAGTGGGCCTCAAAGCCAAGAAGATCTTGGCTCAAGCCTCACTGCTGGGCATATTGGCTGTGTGATCCTGGGCAAGTCATTTAACTTTTCAGCGCTCGATTTCAATTTTTCTCAAAGTTTTTGGTCTTGGGAGCCCCTTTACACACTTAAAAATTGTTGAGGACCCCTGCCAAAAAAAAAAAGAGTTTTTGTTAATGTGGGTTATATCTATCAATATTTACTTTATTCGAAATTAAAATGTCTGTATTATTATGAAAATCATTTTGATCTCATAGACTCCCTGAAAGATTCTTGGCAACCCCAAGGATCCCCAGACCACACTCTGAGAACCACTACTCCAGGTAGTTCTCTAAGAATATAAGGTGCCAGGATGGTGCTAATGTGGATCAGTAGAGGAAATTTCTTGACCTATGGTTTCCAACCAATTAAGTCATGCACCAATCCCTATCCCCTTTGCTCAATATTTCAATGAATTGATTGGCATGACTATTCCTGTCATCCTGTGTGATTCCAGTCAATCAGCCAGTGAGCAAGAAAGCATTTATTAACTAATTGTCATGAGCCAGGTGTTCTGCTAAGGGCAAGAGATACAAAGAAAGGCAAAAACATGGCCCCTTCCCTTACATTCTGATGGAGGGGACAATATGCAGATAAGTAAGCATGTACAAGATGTATACAGTGTAAATGGAAGGTATTCTCAGACAGAAGCTCCGTTGGGGTTGGGGGACTGGGAAAGGCCTCCTACTGAAGAAGAACTTTGAGCTGAGTCTTGAAGGAAGCCAAGATAGCCAGAAGGTTTTAGTGAGGAGGGAAGACATTCTAGATTAGGCGATCAGGGAACCTGAGTTCCCCACCCCTGTTTTAGATACAAGGGACAATAGGGTAGCTAGGTGGTCGAGCAGATAGAGTATTGGGCTAAAAATAAGGAAGACTCATCTTCATGAGTTCAAATCTGCCTTCAGACATTTATTAGCTGTGTGACCTTGGGCAAGTCTTCTATTACCCTCTTAATTCCAGCACCTTCCCTCTGTTATTATTTCCTATTTATCCTGTATATAGCTTGCTTTGTAGATATTTGTTTGCATGTTGTCTCCTCCATTTGATTGCATGCTCCTTGAAGGCAGAGACTGTCTTTTACCTTTTTCTGTAATCTCCCATTCTTGGCTCAGTGCCTGGTACAGAGCAGGTAATTAATAAATGTTAATTGATTGATAACCATATTGCAGAAGGCTTCAAGTATCAGCTCTCTACCTACCAAGCCATGCTTCCTCAAATACAACCTTAGTTGGCATTGATATAAATATAACATATAGAGCATGTTCTTAACCTTTTTTGTACTGTAGATCCCCTTGGCAAAATAATATTTTAAATATATAAAATAAAATACATAGAATTATAAAAGAAACCAATTATATTACAAATAGTTATAAAAAAAAACCCCATAGACCTCAGGTTAAGAACCCTTGATCTAGAGCTAAGGTATTGGTAGTTCTGGTGCCCTATAGCCTAATCAGACCACATTGTGAGTTTTGTACGTAGTTCCAGGCATTGCATTTTAAAAGGGACATTGATAAGCCACACTGGTACCCAAAGAATATTACAAGACCCAGAGAAAATCCTCCCCCATGTTAGAAAGAAAATTCTCCACCATATCTCCAAGACGTTAAGTTGTCCAGTAAGTGTTGTACTGTATCGATGAAGGGAGTTTTCTTGCAGGGAGTTCCATAGGTCAATGAAATCACCGCTCTGGACCAAAAACCAGGTTGCATTAGCTTTTAGCAGGATGGCTTCATTATACTGATAACTCATACTTTCAATCCATTAAAAGCTTTGGGTCCTTTTCAGAAAACAAACAAACAAATGGCTTTATTTATCTCTGTCTTCAATTTGTCCAGTTGATCCATTACACTGTGAGGATGGAGGATTTATAAAAGAACACTGGATTTCTTAGAAAGAAGAATTTCAGGGAGCAGGACAAAAGCTAGATTGAAGGGGTTAAGGGGGGAGTATGTAGTGAGAAAGCGATGTGGCACTGTAGACTCATTTAGAGGAAGTTTAGCTGAAAAGGGAAGACACATAAGAAGGTAGGCATTTGGAAAGGGTGGGAAACTCAAGTGATTAAAAAAAACATTGTTTTAAAATTAGAGTCTTTTTCCAGATGAAACTCTAATGACCTACAAGTCCAATGTAACCTAAAGATGCATTTCTTTCTCTCAGATAATTAAATGCCCAGGAAGGATCTAAAGTCATAAAATGATAGCACTGAAAGGGCCTTGGAGAATATCTGATTCCTCATTTTATCGATGAAGGCCTGAGTATCTTCAAAGCTAAGTGACTTACCCAGGGTCACACAGACAATATTGAATCGAGGCATCATAGGGTAGTGGACAGAGGGCTGTACCTAGAGTCAGGAAGACTTGAGTTCAAATGCTGCCTCAGTCACTGGCTGTGTGACTAGGCAAATCATTTAGCCTATCTCAGTTTCATTACTATAAAGTAGAGACAACTATGTAGCACATATCTCACAGGGTTGTTTTGAGGTTTAAAGGAAGGAAGGAAGGAAGGAAGTATTCATTAAGCTCCTATTAAGTGCTAGGCTCTGGGCTAAATTCTTAACAAAACATTATGTTATTTGATCCTCACAGCAACCCTGTGTTATAGGTGCTGTTATTGTCCCCATTTTACAGATGAGGAAACTGAGGCAGAGGTTAAATGACTGGCCCAGGGTCATACAGCTAGTAAGTGTCTGGGGCCAGGTTTGAACTCAGGTTTTCCTGAATCCAGTCCCAGCACTCTATCCGCTGTTTCACAGGCCTTATAGGGTTAAACAAATGTTTCTTCTTCTTCTTCTTCTTCTTCTTCTTCTTCTTCTTCTTCTTCTTCTTCTTCTTCTTCTTCTTCTTCTTCTTCTTCTTCTTCTTCTTCCCTTCTTCCCCTTCTTCCCCTTCTCCTTCTCCTTCTTCTCCTCCTCCTCCTCCTCCTCTTTCTCCTCTTTTCTTCTTCCCTTTCCTATTAATTACTTGGTAGCAAAGCCAGGATTAGGACCAGGTCCCCTGCCCCACAGTCTAGAGCTCATGCCACTGTACCTTTCATAAAAACTCACTTAATGCCCAGACTAATATTTTTTAAGTGCCCAGACTAGTATTTTTTCAAGTGCTGTGTTAATGAATGTATCCAGCTATGTTTCCTCTTTCCATTCTTACCACCAATGGAGAAAGTGTGAATGCACCTGGTGTGAAGTCTATGAGTACACTAAAATCAGAGCTTGAGTCAGTCTTTATTCTCCATCTAACTGACCTCAAAGACAGCAGAAAACCTCTCAAGGAGATGGGATATATTTTATAGTCACTCAGGTTCTAGAAAGTACTATATGGTTGATTCCAGAAACTAAATTAGTAGAAATTATTCCACTGCTTTCCTAAATAATAAAAAGCTTTATGTATTTTTAAAAAATCGGTGGTGAAATTAAAAGATCTCTCAATTTGGAGGCAGAGGACTTGGCTCTGTGACCTACTGTGTGATGTTGGACTTCACCTTTCTAGGCTTTATTTTTCTCATCTGTAAAATGAAGAAGTTAGGCTTTATAAACTTCTAATGTCTCTGCCACTCTAAATCTATGATCCCATGATATCAAGGTAGTGTGGTATGCTGTACGATGGTCAAAATCTATCCTCAGACACTTATTAGCCATGTAACCTCAGGCAAGGCTCTTAATTTTGCTGAATTTCAATTTCCACCCCTGTAAAAATCCAGCTAATGATCGCACCTCCTCTCCCCAATTATCATGAGATTCAAATGAGATTGTGCATGGAGATTAAAGCACTGTGTAAATGTCAGTTATTGTTATTCATCACGCACACTATCTAGAAGGTACAGTTTTTCCTGTGTGTCAGGTATAGACCAAAGTTGGGGTTTGTGGGAGGACAGGTTGAGAAAGAAATCATGGCTCCAACCTTAACATCAAGACCTGTTTTTATGCCTCATTTAACCCTAGTTTCAGCAAAACAACAGTTTGTTTTATCCAGGTTTATCTCCTGCCCAAGGTTACAGTAGCCTCACTTGCTCCCGAGTCCACACACTTCTTTTAGAGAGGGAAAGCTAAAGTGAAAAATGATCTTGTACCTTTGGAAACTGGGAGAAATACTGTTTGTTGCTGCTGCCGGGAGAAAATGAGCTTTGGGTGCACAGGAAATAAAGGGTACATGTTGCTTTCTTGTCCCCTGAAGTCTGTGGTTTTTTTTCTCCTGTCTTGCAGGGATGCGTGAACATTCTGTTTTTGGCTTCTGTGGGAGAGCTATTAAGGTGAATATTGAAGCTTAAATGGAATTTGGAAATAAGAGGAATATTTCATTTTGAGCAAGGATAGAATCCCTTTTACATGAATGCTAGAGAAGATAAGATCTGTCTGACCAGTAACCACTTTTTAAATAGCTTCCATCTTGAATCGACTGTTCATATCCTCCCCCTTAATTTTCTGGGTTTGTAATTGTTCCCCACCTCTTTATTTCACTACTATGACCTCTGCCTGCAGTAACCCTCCTCAGAGAGGACTATGGGGCCCTCCCAATTTCACCGAGGAAAACTGAGATGCAGAACAAATTAGTATGAAAATTACAACCAAATTTGAAATGATTGAAGTCATTTGGCTCCCCCCCCCCATGACAAATATAACGTGATTAGCCTGCCAAACAAGGCAGAAAACAGAAGGGCTGTATGTTTCCTGAGATATTTCTGTTTATGTAAGTCAGGTTTGAAACCCAGAAGTGATCTCTGGATCCTCTCTCTGTGTCACCTCAATCTGAAAGCCAGTGGATTTTTCCTTTATAGCATTTTCCCATTCCTTACTTTCTGTGCCCTCTGCCACCACCTTAGTTTAAGCCTTTACTATGTCATGCTTCTTGCTCCATTTCATACTGCATATCCCAGGCAAGTAATTCAACCTGACACACTCTTTTGATCATGGCATACCCTACTCAAAACCTCCAATGGCTTCTCATTGCCTACCCAAAAATCCATTCTCCTGGCCTGGAATACAATGCCCTAGACAGTCTTGTCCCAAATTCCTTTTCTAACGTTTTCTTCTTCTTTTGTGGTATATAAGCCTTCTCTCACCTCCAGCCAGAATAATCTACTCCCAAACCTTTGAATATGCCTTGAGAGTTCCTTTCTTCTTGTTCATGCCATTCCCCATCTGGAAATGCTTTCCTGCCTTATCCTACCTGTCAACATCCTAACCATTCTTCCATTCCCAGCTCAAACCCCATCTCTTTCAAGAAGCTTTCCTGTATCACAATAACCGAAAGCAATCCTTCCCTCCTCCAATTTTGAATGGCACTTATTGTCTTTACCATTCATCTATCAGGTATCACATATTGCCTTGTATTTAGTTATTTGTGCATATTTTTCATCTCCTTAGAAATAGTGTTAGCTTTTGGAAGGCAGAAACCATGTCTTGAATTTATTTGCAGTCCCACATTGTTAAACATAATGTCTTGTATATAGTAGGCACTCAGAACATATTTACTGAATGAATAAATGAGTGAGTGATCATTGGACAAAGACACTGGAAATACGGGTACTAATCTAGATTTTGGCTCTAATGGTGGCTGTACATATATACATATGTAAATATACATATACACACATATGAAATATATACATACATGTATATACATATGTAAGTAGACATATATGAGCAGAGTTTGAATGACTTGACTGATGTAGAGATATGTGTCCTAGTTCACATTAGAGGCCTTAATGAAATCATGTTTATTCAAGAGCTCTTAGAAGAGTATAAAGTACAAGTGTAAAGTAACATTAATGATCTCGTTCACTATGAATAAAAGGAAATGTATAGGGCTTATGAAGGGAATAGAGGCATATTAGTGCAGCAACTAAGAGAAACCAACAAGAGCTTGGCACATTAGTGAGATCAGGGACAGGGCATATTACCATCTGATGTATCCCTCTTGAAAAATGGAAGAGTATATCCCGCAAAATAAGGGGGTAAGTAAGGAAATGAAACATTTCTTGGTCTTGGCTTTTATGGTGGCTAAAGAACATTTTATTCAGTCTCCTCTACAACCTCCTCCCCCAAGTCCCATTGAAATCAGTCCATCATGGAAGTTTCGAGCCCTGCTTAAAAGAACATTTAAACACCCTGGAAAATAAGCACAATTATAATGTTTCAGACTTGAGCAAACCTTTTCACCTACGTTGATGCACTCATAATGGGCTCCCTCATCGTGAGCTTTGGCTTTTACATTAGCTCTCTTGCTTCCCTCTTGGAATATGACTCAAGCTAATTGGAAATGAATATAGGAGGCCCTGGAAGGCTCGCCAAATAAAAGGAATGTGTGAGAAGCCCCCATTCATCAGAAAGCCCTTTGGGAACCTGGGGCTGTCACATAGATTCAGGCTGGAAATTTAACCTCTCTCTGCTTCTCCTCTTTTGTAAACTTAGGATAAAAATGCTGACAGCATCTTGCTGAAGTGCCAGAGAGCCTTAATTATTAACGAAGAATACCAAAGGCACACATTCGATATAAAACTTGATTTGCCTGCCTTGAACTGCCTGATAGGAAGGCACCCAAGTAGCTTTGAATTAGCAATGCTATTGACTTCAAAATTGCCTAAAGAAGTTAGGCATGATCCCTGTGGGAAATCTTTTATTTTAAAAGAGAAGGAAAACTTCTGAATGATTCCCTAGAGGAAAACATTGAAATTCTCATTAATGTTGAAATACTTAGTACTCTTTGAGGTCATCATGGGAAAGTGGGCAGTAAAGAATGGTTCTCTTCAGTTCCCTCACCCAACTTCTACGCTCTCTGGCTTACCTGCGACATACAAAGAATGCCACAAAATGTCCAGGGATGAAAGATTTTACCTTTATTTCAGCAATGAAGAGACAGATGGTAACTGGCAAATTCCTAACTTCTACCTTGATAATCTTGATCATTCTGAACCACTGTCTGCCTTGGTGAAAATTTCTTTTCCCCACTACCTTTCTTGGAACTTTCAGTCTTATAGAACTCAAGTCTAGCCCTTCCCAGTCCTAATCCTCTGGGGCCCTTTCCCGGCATTTCATCTGGAGCTCTCAGTCTAGAGTAAAAAAATACCCCATATCAAAGACTTCCAGAGCTTGCTAGGGTCTCAGAAGCTATCTGGTCCAATCCTCTCATTTTACATCAGAAACAATTGAGGCCCAGAGAATATAAACAACTTACCCAAGGTATCAAAAGGAAGATCTGAACCCAAGTTCTTAGATTCTATTACTTAGTGTTCTTTTCACCACACCAAGCAGCTTCCCTTCATTCTAGATGTCTCCTTCTGACATTCCTTCTATCTTTTGGCTCTCACTAGGTAATAGTCTCCTTTTGAAGTCACTTCATCCCTTGACAGCCCCTCCAGTAGTGACTCAGGACCACTCCATCCCCTAAGACTTCAGTTAATTTGGACCTAGCTCTTTGACCTAGCACTAGAATGGATTGTAGAGATCATCTAGTCTAATCTTCACTTTAAATACAAGTAACCAGAGAGCCATAGAGCTGAGGTGATGGGTTTAAAGTGACACAGAGAACGTGTAACAGAGATGGAATTTCAACCTATGCCCACTAACTCCAAATCATGCTCTTTTAACCATACCATGATGACTCTCATACTCTAGGAATGGAAACAAATACCATAGGCATAATTCTGGTAACTGGGCACCTTTGACTCCTCTTCTGTGAGAAGGTAAGACTTTTGTCAAGATATTCATAATAGGTATGCTCTTCTTGACATTGTCATGATTCTCAAAACCAAGAAACATTTTGAAGCAGCTGACTGCTGATTGTATGTGCTGTGGTTGGTACTGAACAAAAGAAGCTGCATGGCACAGCCTCTGTACCTGTCAAAGGCTCAAAAAGACACAGAAGTGCCAAGCAAGAAACAAACAAAACTTATATAACTTCTCCCAAACTCTTTACCCCCAAGTCTTTCACCTTCTCATTGTGAGAAATCTTTTCTTCTAGGTTTGATCCAGAAAAAAAAATCAATGAAAGACATTTATTACAAACAGCTGGGAACATAGCACTACCATCAGCAGCTCAGCTCTGGTAATACAGGGACAGGCTAAAAAAAATAGCTTGAATTAGAGCAAATGATTCCATTCTCCAGCAGCATCAGCTGTGGCCATTAGGGAAGCCAGTGGGGAAAAAAACCTATCTAGCTTATGCCATATAAGAGTAATGGGAGCAGTTAGAAAGGATTAGCTGTTTTCTGAAATACTAAGACCCTGTTCACTCTCCAAATGCCAAGGACCACAACTCATTTAAGTCGTGGCTTTCATTCACAAAGCTAAGTTCATCCTGATCATACCAAAGGAGTATGGTTAGCATTCTTCCACCAAGTCAGGTATTCAGGGAGGCCTTCTGGTTAGGAAATTATGCCTCACTTCTTTCTAAAATACCAAATATTTCTTTCTGTGCCTCTGTCTTCTCCAATGACTAGAAGCAAATACCTCTGGGAGCCCTGGTTTTTTCCTTTAGTAAAGAGGAGCTGTTGCCAGACATAAAATGAAGAAATTTGGAGGGGTAGAGGGAAAAGAGGGGAGATCAAAAAGAAAACCAAGATCAAGTGGTTAAGTTGCAATAAATGACCTGAACCATATGGAGACCATATGGAAACTATGATAGTTGAGCTTCTAGTGAGAATGTACAGTTTATCATAAAAAATGGTTATTACTTCAAGAAGCTGGAGAAGAGACAGTTTTACCTAGCAAACACACATATACATATACACAAAAATGTAATTTCAATGGATTCTCTGGGACTTATATTACAGCAAAATTTATTTGTCGCAAGTCAAGGCAGCTCAGAATAACATCCTTTATAAGGAAAGCTAGAAAACACCTGGGTAGATGTAGCAAAATAATAATAACTCATTTATAGAATTTTTTTCATCAAAAATGCTCTGAGGATAATCTTGCCCAACTAGGTGTCATGCCAAGCTCTCTGTAGGCTTCTTTTCACCTTAACTACTCTGCATTTTGTGAGACTACTCAGAATTTTCCATCTTCCTGTAATTCAAGTAAATGTTGAAATCCTCTGAGTCATTCTTGACGTTGGCTGTTATGTCTTCTTCACCAGGAAGCTATTGAGGCTTCAGGAGTTGTTAAGTTAGTTGAGGCAGTTTCTGGGCTCTTTTAGCCTCTTCATTGTGGCAAATGTGGTGCAGAGATTAAACCTGTAAGAGTTAGTGACGGAGGCAATATATTTACTCTTGTCTATGTCCTATTTCCTGGAGCTGGTGGTTTCACCACT